GTGTTTAAAAAAATAAATAAATAATTATATAATAAATATAGTAATAATAATATTGTTTTTAATAATTTATTTACGAAATACATAATATACATAATAAGTGTAAATATATATATATATATATTATATGTCAGTATTTGTATACAAACTTTTTACAGATTTATAATGAGTGCCAACTTTAAGGTTTTCATTGGATAATACTGAACCAAAATGAATGCCAATAATGTTATAGTTGGCATCAAATATAGGTGCACCCGATGTTCCCGGAATATTATGGGACTTATGTAAGACAAACAGTTCCCGTTTGTCTAACCTATCGTATAACGGTCGAAAATTTGTCATATTTATAGTATCAATGGTTGTATAAGCAGTTATGTAGCCGACACTGATTGTCCAATGTTGGAAATTGCCGTGACCATAAATGGCTACCGATTCGCCCAATTCCAGTGTACGATTGGCCATATTCAATGGTTGCAACTCGATTCCAGTTATGTCCATTTCGTATAGTTCTACCAGTGCCAGATCCAGATGACTTTCCACATATACAACTCGGGCAATGAACTGAATAGACATTTCGACGGCCGACTGTTCCGGTAACTGTATGGTCGGCGCCGAAAAGCATGTAAAGCCTAGCATGTGGTGAGAGCCGGCCACTACATGTGCATTAGTAACGGCCAAATTTCTGGAGTCATTAAACATGACTGCCGTTCCGATTCTTTTTATTAGCTGATGGTCGACATTTCGGTAAGCATACAATGCGATCACATTTTTTTTGTAATTGTTTTTTAAGTATTCAATGTCTATGTCAAACATGTGAGCCCTTCTACTCAACCATTCAATCGATGGCTTATTATTATTAGTAGAATTGGCATTATTTCGGTGGTCAGACATTTGTCCGACCGATTGTTGCCAAATCAGTGTCGGCAGTGGTGACTGTTTGTGGGCCAGTTGTCGGCAATTAGTATTATATATAGCCAATGATGTTAGCAATGAAGCCGACGATAACAGAATATTTCTAGAAATTTTATTTATTTATTTTTTAAAAAAATTAATTTTGATAGAAATGCTTTGAAACAATAACAGTAGTAATTTAATAATTGATTTGTCTGGACATACCTTTTGTTAGTAAAATACAAAATCATTGTTTTGTAGAAAGTATTAACAATAGTAGTCATTATAAAATTATGAAAACATTAACACATCTGTCAATTGATTATAAATAAAAAAATTATGATTTATTTTTTGTAATATACCAACAATATATATATATATATATATAACTATGACATATTAAAATTATATATCTAATTAATAATTAATAAGTAAAAAAATATTATAATAATATAAACTATAACGAGATGCATAATTAATAATAATTACAGCTGGCCATTGATTTCAACTATCATATCATTGATCTGAAGTTTAGTCCTATTAGTTGTTTGCAGTATTAAAAAAAAATCCCATTAAATAATCAAATTTTGATGTTTTTTTGGATTATATAAACAGAAATACATTACATGCGTTTGTCAATAACATCGACGACCATAAAATCGGTGTTAATATCAGTATTTTTTGATAAAACAATACCCAATTGATAATCACTTCTGGGATAATAGTGTTGATATCGTATGAATTTTTCCATTTTGAGTTTGTTTGAGTGGACATAATTGTCGGCTCTTTTAATAAACTCTATGATTATAACAACAACAGAAAATGTTTATTTAAATTAATTTTCTAATTTGATATCTAATGATAACAAATATATTTTTAAGTATAATATGAAATACTCTATGATATGATATATTCTAAAATTAATTATTTAGAGTTAATTAATAGTTATTTCTGACAATTTTATTAATATAATTAAGATGTTATAATTAATACAGTTCTATATCATTATTTTTTTTAAAAAAATAAATAATTTTATTTTTAATTAATTATTATAAATAGTTAAATAAATTTATGCAATTTTTTTCAAACAAATTTTTAAAATTTGTTTTATGGATTCTATGTCTGTGTGTGTGTTTGTGTGTGTGTGTGTTGGTTTTCGAACTTCGAATTTTGAAATTCTGATTTCAGATTCGGTTAGATCATCAAAAATAAGGTATAGGGGATCAACATTAAAATTTTGATATCTCTTCAAGAACATAGAAAAAATGGCGGCCAAAGTACAAAAAAATTAGTAAAAAAATTTTAAAGTTTAAATTTGAATAAAGCATCAAAAGTAAGTTATAGGAATAAGAAATAAAATTTTGATATCTCTTAAGGAACAGATAAATTAAAAAAAACTAAGGTTTAGTTGTCAAAATGTAAGTTAAACATCTTAATGCAGTTAATTACAATGTTAAGTTATAACAATAATTTTTTTATAAAATGGTGGATAAATATCCATTAATATTGCATCATATATATTCCATAACGACAAATATTGCATCTTAAATATTGCATCACTAAAAATATTGCATCATAAAAATTGTCACTTAATAGTTTAGTAATATGACTCATATGGTCTAATGGTTATCATGAGTAAATATTTTGTTTATATGATAATAAAAAGTAATTTGCGTAATAAAAATTTGTTTTAGATAATGCTTTCTAGCATTTTCAACTTGTTTATTTTTTAAATTTATGTAAAAATGAATATTAATTTTAGAAAAGATTTTTTATTGACAAATTAAGTTGGGAATATTTTTATTAGTTAATTTATAGATAATTTAGTGGGAATTTATTAAAAATTTATAGGGAATTTAATGGGAATTTAGTGGAAATTTAGTGGGAATTTAGTGGGAATTTAGTGGGAATTTAGTGGGAATTTAGTGGGAATTTAGTGGGAATTTAGTGGGAATTTAGCGGGAATTTAGTGGGAATTTAGTGGGAATTTAGTGGGAATTTAGTGGGAATTTAGTGGGAATTTAGTGGGAATTTAGTGGGAATTTAGTGGGAATTTAGTGGGAATTTAGTGGGAATTTAGTGGGAATTTAGTGGGAATTGTTGTGAATTGAATTGTGGGAACCATAGGCGCACCGGACGTACCGGGAATTGTATTTGATTGATGCAAACAAATCGATGCAGATTTGTCTAATAGCCAACCAAACTGTCGATTCTGTGTCTCCGATATAGTATCAAATGGTGTGTTTGTAGTAATATAGCCAAAAGAGAATGTCCAACCCTGGCCATGACCGTGACCCAAAATGGCTACCTGTTCGCCCAGTTCAGGTGAACGATCCGATACAATCATAACGTTAAGAAGGTTTCTAATATCTAGCATTTCTACAAGTTGTATGACTGCCAGATCCAGATGCGATTCAATGTACAATACACGGGCCATCAATTCTGTTATCAATTTCATGGTCGACTGTTCCGGTAACTGTATGGCTGGCGCCCAAAAATGTGTTTTGGCAATCATGTAGTCATAGCCGGCCACTACATGAGCATTAGTGACGGCAATATTTTCGGCGGCGTTCACTATGACTGCCGTTCCTATCGAATTCATTGATTAGTTGTCGGCATAACTGAGACCTGATAATAAAAGCACACTAAACTTGTAGTTGTTTTTCAAGTATTCAATGTCCACATCAAACATATGAGCCCTAGTTATCCATTTAATTAGTGACTTATTATTATTACGGTTAGACATTTGTTGGCCCGACTGGCAATTCAGTGACTGTTTGGTCAGTTATCGGCGCTTAAGATATACTGTCGACGACGTTAGCAATGATGCCGACAATAGCAGCAAATTTCTGAATCAAGTTTTTTTTTGGTAAAGTAAAGTAAAGCAATAATTGAATTGTTTTTTTAATCTCTTATATAACAAGCAATCAAATTTCAATATCAGTTTCAAATGAAGTTAATAATCAATAGATTTTATAAGTGAATAAACAAATCAAAAATCATTAGATTTGTTTGAACATACCTTTTGCTGTAAAAACTCATTTTATTTAGTGTACGATAATCAACTCAATTGATATTTTTTAGTTTAAAAACTCATTAAAAAAACCATAAGCTAACTGTCAATTTAGTCATAATTATTAATTATTGTTAATTAATTTCAAATTAATATTACATCATATTATACAGTATTGTTGTTTTTACGTAATTAATAATTATTTATTTTTTTTTTGTTATATAATTGTTAATGTTCAGCAATCGATGAATCAAAATTTATTATTATTTAAAAAAACATCAAATCAACATTAATACCAAAAAATTAGTTATGAATTTAATTTTTCTGTTAGAAATTTATTATTATAAGATTAAGTTTTTTTTTTGGTAAGTTAAGTAAAGGAATGATTGAATTGTTTTTTTTTAATTTCAATATCAATTTCAATATCAGTTTCAAATGAAGTTAATAATCAATAGATTTTTATAAATGAATAAACAAAACAAACAAACAAATTATTAGATTTATTTGAACATACCTTTTGCTGTAAAAACTCATTATATTTAGTATACGATAAGCAATACAATTGATATTTTTTTTAGTTTAAAAACTCATTAAAAATAACCTAAAAATAACTACCAATTAAAATTAAAATTATTAATTCTTGTTAATTAATTTCAAATTAATATTACATTAATGTCAATCAGATTATACTGAATTGTTGTTTTTACGTAATTAATTATTATTATTTTTTGTTATACAATTGTTAATGTGTAGTAATAGATGAATCAAAATTTATTTTTTTAAAAAAAAAACATCAAATCAACTTATATACCAAAAAATTAGTTATGAATTTATTTTAAAAAATTGAATTTTTTTTTGTTATAAATTTATTATTATCATATGGTAATTATTAATATAAGATTTTTTTATTTAAAACATTTGTATTATGTATATTATAAATAAAGTAAAAATAAATATACATTTAATACAAATATTAAGTATTGTTTGAATACTTTATTATGAAAAACAAATAAGTATTTTAGTAATAAAATAAATACAATTTAGTTTTTAATAAATAAATACAATAACAAAATAAAATGTTGTTTTTAAAAAATGTCTATTAAAATACAAGTGGTATACAATCGTAATTAAAACCAATGACATTCACTGGCATTACATTATTGTTACGATTGATAGTCAAAACAATTACTTTACGGAAACTATTTTCAATGGCATCAATCATTTGGCTGATATCGGTAAACGGTTGGCCATTGATTTTAACTATCATATCATTGATCTGAAGTTCAGTCCTATTAGTCGTATACGACAGTAGTGTTTGCAATATAATTATTTATAAAAAAAACTCATTAAATAATCAAATTTTGATGTTTTTTTTGGATTATATAATCAGAAATATAATACATTACATGCGTTTGTCAATAACATCGACGACCATAAAATCGGTGTTAATATCAGTATTGTTGGACAAAGCAATACCCAATTGTTGATAACATTTTGGTAAATAAGGTTTATATCGATTGAATTTTTCCATTTCACGTTTGTTTGAGTGGACATAATTAACGGCTCTTTCAATAAACTCTATGATTATAACAACAACAAAATGTGTTTTAAAAATTAATTTTCTAATTTGATATCTAATAATAACAAATATATACCGGTATATAATTTACAATAACATAAATATAGGTATATATGTATGTATGTGACATACCGTTTACAGATTTACCACGGGTACCGGTTTTTGGTTGGTTGACTAATGCAAGCAATGCACCAAAATTGATACCAATGATCGCATAATTGGCGTCAACCATAGGTGCACCGGACGTACCGGGACTTGTATTTGAGTGATGCAAACAAAACGATTCAGATTCGTCTGATGTACAACTAAACGGTTTAAACTGTGTCTCCGATATGGTATCAAATGGTGTGCCTGTAGTAATATAGCCGACACAGACTGTCCACAACTGGCCATTACCGTGACCCAAAATGGCTACCTGTTCGCCCAGTTCATGCGAACGATCCGATAAAAGCATAACGGGAAGATCGTTACTAATATCTTGCATTTCTTCTAGTTGTATGATTGCCAGATCCAAATGATATTCAACATACAATACTCGAGCCACCAATTTCTTTGTCACTTCTATGGCCGACTGTTCCCGTAATCGTATGGTTGGCGCCGGGAACAGTGTTCGGGCAAACATGTAGTCATAGCCGGCCACTACATGAGCATTAGTGACGGCAATTTTACTGACGGCGTCCACTATGACTGCCGTTCCTATCGAATTCATTGAATCGTTGTCGACATAGCTGAGACCTACCAACAAAAGCACACTATTCTTGTAGTTGTAATCCAAGTATTCAATGTTCACATCAAACATATGAGCCTTAGTTATCCATTTAGTTTTTGACTTATTATTATTATTATAACGGTTAGACATTTGTAGGCCTGACTGGCAAATCAGTGGCGGCTGTGACTGTTTGACCAGTTTTCGGCGCTGAAGATATACTGTCGACGACGTTAGCAATGATGCCGACAATAGCAGCAAATTTCTGATTCAATTTTTTTTTGTAAAGTAAAGTAAATAATAATTGATCTGTTTTTTAATCTCTTATATAACAAGCAATCAAATTTCAAATGAAGTTAATAATCAATAGATTTTCATCATTTGATTTGTTTAAACATACTTTTTACTGTAAAAACTCATTTTATTTAGTGTACGATAAGTAACACAATTGATAACTTTGACACAATTGACAACACAATTTAGATTTTTTAGTTTAAAAACTAATTAAAAAAAAACTCAAACAAACTGCCAATTTAGTTAAAAATTATTGTTAATTAATTTCAAATAATATTACATTTAAGCCAATCAAATTATACAGTATTGTTGTTTTTACGTAATTAATAATTATTTATTAATTTTTTGTTATACAATTGTTAATGTGTAGCAATCGATGAATCAAAATTTATTTATTTTTTAAACATCAACATTAATACCAAAAAATTAGTTATGAATTTCTTTAAAAAAAAAATTGAAATTTATTTTTTTTTCTTATAAATTTACTATTAATGATAATTGATAATTATTTTTATAAGATTTTTTTTTTATATTTCAAACATTTGTATTATGTATATTATAAATAAAATAAAAATAAATATACATTTAATACAACTATTAAATATTGATTGAACACTTTATTATGAAAAATAAATAAGTATTTTAGTAATAAAATAAATACAATTTATTTAAGTATTATTTTTTTAAAAAATAATAATTTCTATTAAACCACTTGTGGTATACTTTTGTAATCAAATCTTCTAACTTTTACTGTCATTACATTATTGTTACGATTGATAGTCAAAGTTATGTCATCATCGAAACTATCGATAGCATCAGTTATTTGGCTGATATCGGTAAACGGTTGGCCATTGATTTCAAGTATCATATCATCGATCAGAAGTATAGTCCTATTAGTTTGCAGTAAATAAAAAAACCCATTAAATAATCAGTTTTGTTGTTTGAATTATAAAGAGTAATATAAGAGACATTACATGCGTTTGTCAATAACATCGACGACCATAAAATCGGTATTAATATCAGTATTTTTTGATAAAATAATACCCAATTGATAATCACTTTTGGGATAATAGTGTTGATTTTGATTGAATTTTTCGATATCTCTTTCGTATGACTGGACATAATCAGCGGCTCTTAGAAGAAAGTCTATCATTTAAGAAAAATATTTATTTATATTATTTTTCTAATTTATTTAATGATTACAAATTACAGTTTATAATCTACAATAACATATATATATATATATATATATATATATATATACAACATATATATGTGTATGTCATACCGTTTACAGTTTTACTATGGGTACCGGTTTTTGGTTTGTTAGCCAATGTACACCAAAATTGATTCCAATGATCTCATGATTGGCGTCAACCATAGGCGCACCGGACGTACCGGGAATTGTATTTGATTGATGCAAACAAAACGATTCAGATTTGTCTAATATACTACCCAACGGTACATACTTTGTCTCCGATATGGTATCAAATGGTGTGTTTGTAGTAATATAGCCGACATAGACTGTCCACCACTGGCCAGCACCGTGACCCAAAATGGCTACCTGTTCACCCAGTTCGTGCTGACGATCCGATACAAACATAATGGGAAGTTCGTTACTAATGTCGTCCATTTCTGTTAGTTTTATTAGCGCCAGATCCAGATGCTTTTCAATGTACATTACTCGGGCCACCAATGTTGTTGTCTTTTCCATGGCCGACTGTTCCGGCAACTTTATGGTCGGCGCCGGGAACTGAGTTTGGGCAATCATGTAGTCATAGCCGGCCACTACATGAGCATTAGTGACGGCGACATTTTCGATCGTATCCACTATGACTGCCGTTCCCATCGAATTCATTGAATCGTGTCGGCATAGCTCAGACCTAACAACAATAGCACACTATATATGTAGTTGTCTTTCAAGTCTTCAATATCCACATCAAACATGTGTGCCTTAGTTAACCATTTAATTAGTGACTTATTATTATTATTAATATTACGGTTAGACATCAGTGGCGGCGGTGATTGTTTGGCCAGTTGTCGGCGCTTAAGATATACTGTCGACGACGTTAGCAATGATGCCGACAATAGCAGCAAATTTCTGAATCAAGTTTTTTTATTTGGTAAAGTAATGTAAATAATAATTGAATTGTTATTTTTTAAATCTCTTATATAACAAGCAATCAATTTCAATATCAGTTTCAAATGAAGTTAATAACCAATATATTAGTTAATAAACAGACCAAAAAAAAATCATTAGATTTGTTTGAACATACCTTTTACTGTAAAAACTCATTAATGAACAACAAAATTGATATTATTTAGTTTAAAAACTCATTTAAAAAAAACCACAAACTAACTGCCAATTTAATGAAAAAAATTATTAATTATTGTTAATTAATTTCAAATTATTATTACATATATTTCAGATTCAGATTATACAGTATTGTTATTTTTACATAATTGATAATTTTGTTTAGTTCAAAAATACCTAACATATACTAACTGTCAATTTAATTTTGAATTAAAATTAATTTTATAGTTAATTAATTTCAAATTTAAATTTGACTCATCTCAATATACAGTATTGTTGTTTTTACGTAATTAATAATTTTTATATTACTAAACTTTAATAAAATAGCAACTATCATGTATTATTATTAGAAAGTGATAGATTAGATTAAATGATAATTAGTTTTTTATAATATATATATCAATTTATAATTAAATTAAATATTTAATTGATTACAATGGCAACAATATTTTTAACTGAATCTTTATAAACTATATATTAATATAAACTAAATAATATAATTTTTATTTAATTGTATATTTCTTTATCATTAGGTATTCAAAGTTGAATAATTATTTAACATATTTATAAATAAGAAAATTTTTAAACATTTAAATGATTAGATTTTTTTTAAATCAACACAATTTATCATTATTTGATAATTATTAATATATATTTTATAATTTTCATAGATTTTAAAATTATAAAATAATTTATAATATTAACTATTAATTCAAATAAAATTATAAATTATCTTTTTTAATGTGTTTTCTTATATAATAGTGAAAATGTAAAAAATATATATAATTTATCTGTTTATTTTTTAATTGATAATAACTATTACTATTTTGTTTTATTACTAAATATTATTTTTTTGAAAAGTTTATTATTTTATAATAACAATAGTAATTATAAGAGTAATAGTTGGTAACAACTTGTTATAATTGTTATAATTTCATAATAATTATTTCAATTTTAATAATAATACTTAATTGCAAAATTGATAATCAATAATTATGTTTATAAATTTAATTTAATTTTTATATTAATTTAGTTATATTTTGTATAATATATAATGACTTAGTTTATTATACTCATATATTACATATGTATTATACTATGTAATATAATTATATTAATACAGTAATACTGTATATAATATCTACTATAAAATAATATACTTTTTTCTAAATAGAAAATATTATTTTTTATAGATAATAAAATAATTTTAATAATAATTTTATAAATTTAGTAAATATTTAAAATTATATTGTTTCAAAACTATGTATTTAATAAAATATGATATATTATTGTATTTATTGGGCGAAAAATGTTATAAATGGGGATTTAGTAAATATAATTCAAACTATAAACAATTTATTTCTAAATTAAACAGTTTATTTAATCTATGTTGTTTTGTTGAATGTTTCAAATTAATCATAACTTATTATCTAGATGATAATCAATACAATTGTTATCTAGGTGAATGGCCAGATTTTGGTAAAAAATCATGTACAATTACTATATTGAGTGCCTATTTAATTAAATATTATAGTAATCAAACATTTAACAAATTTAATAGAAATCAATTGAAATTATTATACAATGCTAGCGCTATATTAGATATACATCAATATAGTTATACTAAATATTTTAAAATATTCAGTAAATTAATAACAATTTTAATAGTATTATGTGGACTATTTTATCCAATTATAGCCATGTCATTGTACTATTCATGGCATCAATTGATAACATTTGGCATAATTTGGTCACAATTTTATTTGTTTGCCACTCCAAGCTCTCAACTAATGTTAACCTATCATATACTATATTTTTCCACAATATGTTTATACTTGAAATTTGAATTGAAAATTATAAATGTAAAAATTAAAAAATTAATTATGTCCACAGCTTTGAATAATAAATTTTTAACACACATACATATGAAAAAAATTCATAAAGTATTAAATAATTATTATATTAAAAATTATACGCTTAACAAGTTATGGTCATTGAGTTTATTATATTATTGGCTATTTTATTCACTATTAATATCGTGTTTAGTATTAACTGTTATACAATCAAAAAACAATATTTTTGCAACAATTATTTTTATATTTGGTGCAGTACTATGTTTTTTATGTATTACATCAGTAATACTATTAGCCAGTAATATCAATACGGAAGCTAAACATACGTATAAATTAATAAATAATTTAAATAATACTAAACTGCGTAAACAAAATACAATTCAATCATTGCATACAAAGCTTAAGGTTAGTGTTTAAATATTTTAAAAAAAAAATTAATTTACTATATATATATTATAAAAATCTAATTATTAAGTTTATTTTTGTCTATAATATTATAGTTACACACATTGATTGAATTGATGGCTAAACCAAAAATTGGTTTTTATTGTTGGAAATTATTTTTAATTAAACAATTGGCCTATCAATTTGTAATTATAATATACTATATTAGATATTATGTTAAATATTAATTAATATTTTTATTCACATTCATAACAGTTTCTCTATATAACCACAAAAACAATTTTAAAAATTATTTTATTACTTTAATTTTCAATTCAATTTATGATAGACTTGTTTATACCGGTATTAACAAATAAATTATAGATATTATTTTAATTGATAATTGTAAGAAACAATATTTTTTTACATTAAATTGTAAATATAATTGTAATAAAATAATTACTGTATTTAATGATCAATTAATATTTTATTTGTTAGTATTCTTAATTTTAAAAACAAAATTAATATATAAATATTTTGTAATAATAAATATAATTTCTAAATTAATAAGTGCAAAAAATTATAATTAGTTAACAAATACATTAATAAAATTAGTACATTTAATTAATTATGTTAATAATTAATGAAATAATTATAGTTTTAGTATATTATATTGTATAACAGTTTTAATAAAATAAAATTGATATAAGCGTCAAACTAATAAAAATAAAATATTTTAATATTACTGGTAGTCATAAAATTGAAATTACATAATAATCCTTAATATTAATTACTTTTTCAAATAAGTTTTTAGTACAATATATTATACTGTGATAAAAGTTTTATAAATTATTTTAATAAAAACTATTGTTTCAAATAAAACTTAATATAACTAATATAAAACAAAATAATAATAATAATAATTATTATTATTATTATTTTGTGCGAAGTCTAACTAAAACTAGAATAAGAAAATCTATAATAAATTTTTGTTAAAAATTAAAAATTATTTTTACAAACTTATAATTTATCTTCTATTTTTTATACATAAAAAATACTTTTAAATATATAATAAACAATGTATTTAACAAAATATGATATATTATTGTATTTATTGGGCGAAAAGTGCTATCGATTGGGTTTTCCTAAATATAATCAAAATTATAAACAGACAATCACTATACAAAACTTTTTATTTAATAAATGTTGTTTTGTTGAGCTATTGAAAACAATTTTATGTTATTATGTAAATAATAATCAATACGATTGTTATTTAGGTGAATGGCCTGACTTTGGCAAAACAGTTATAACTATTTCAATATTGTGTTCGTATTTAATAAAATTTGATACTAATTATAGATTTAAAACTATTGGTATAAAACAATCAAAATTATTATATAATATTAATGCTTTAGTAAACATAAATAATTATGACTATACTAGATATTTTAAAATATTTAGTAAACTGTTAACAATTTTTATAGTATTATGTGGACTATTTTATCCATTTACAGCAATGTCATTATACTATTCATGGCATCAATTGATAACATTTGGCATAATTTGGTCACTATTTTATTTGTTTATCTGTCCCAGCTCTCAACTAATTTTAACTTATCATATGCTATATTTTTCGACAATATGTTTATATCAAAAATTTCAATTGAAAAATATTAATTTAAAAATCAGAAAATTAATTAAATTAACAATACCTTCAATTAAAATGAATATATTATTTATGAAACATTTTCATAAAATATTGAATAAATTTTACATTAAAAATCATACGCTTAACAAGTTATGGTCACCAACTTTGCTATACTATTGGCTATTTTATTCACTATTGATATCATGTGTAGTATTAACTATTATACAATCAAAAAATAATAGTTTAATTACTATAATATTTACTTTTGGTGCAATACTAAGTTTTTTATGTATAACATCGATAATACTATTAGCCAGTAATGTCAATACGGAAGCCAAACAAACATATAAATTAATTAATAATTTTAATAGCATTAAAGTATATCAACTCAAATCAACTAATACATTACATGCAAAACTCAAAGTAATTATTTAATTTTTTAATTAAATTATTATTATTATTAAATTTTTTATTTTTTACAAATAGTTAGTAACATTGATAGAATTGATGGCTAAACCAAAAATTGGTTTTCATTGTTGGAAAATATTTTTAATCAATCAATTCACATATCAATTGGTAAATATACTATAAATCAAAATTATTTCAAATCTAATGAATAAAAAAATATATTAAAAATTGATATTTTAATTAACAGTTTCTTTATATAACAACAAAAACTATTTTGAAACTTATTTTATTGATATAAATAAAGAA